GCAGGGACTTCCCTGGTGGCACAGTGGTTAAGGCTACCCACTCCCAGTGCAGGGGGTGCGGGGTTCAATCTCTCGATCCCTGGTCAGGGAACTAGATCCCACATGCATGCCACAACTAAGGAGGCGGTGAGCCGCAACTAAGGAGCCCACCTGCCGCAACTAAGGAGCCTGCCTGCCACAACTAAGAGCCGGTGCAACCAAATAAATAAATATTAAAGAACCACTCTGCTAAGTCACTCCCAAATTCCTGATGCAGAAACTGTGAGATAATAAATGTGTCTTGAGTAAGCCACTAGGTTTTGGGGTGATTTGTTATACACCAATAGATAACTAATTCAATAGAGAGAAATAGAAGTTTCTGGCTTCAATCTTCCTTTTCCTTAAGCCATAATCATCCAGATTTTATAGACGTGTAAAATTTTTTTTAATTAATTAATTTATTTATTTTTGGCTGCTTTGGGTCTTTGTTGCTGCGCACAGGCTTGTCTCTGGTTGCTGCGAGCGGGGGCTATTCTTCGTTGCTGTGCGCGGACTTCTCACTGTGGTGGCTTCTCTCATTGCGGAGCACGGGCTCTAGGCGCGCAGGCTTCAGTAGTTGTGGCACACGGGCTCAGTAGTTGTGGCTCACAGGCTCTAGAGCACAGGCTCAGTAATTGTGGCGCACAGGCTTAGTTGCTCTGCAGCATGTGGGACCTTCCTGGACCAGGGCTCGAACCAGCATCCCTTGCATTGGCAAGCGGATTCTTAACCACTGCACCACAGGGAAGCCCTAGATGTGTAATTTTAAGGCTCAGACAAGTTAATATACTCATTCAAGTTTACACCGTTTAAATGACAGTGCTATGAACATTTGGGGGTTTTCTGACATGCAGACAGTGTTCTTTGTACTCTCTCATGTTACCTTTAATACCTACAAATAATTTATTTTTTGATAATTGACTGCTATAGATGACAGGTCCTCTATTAGCCACTAACCTAGGCACTGTTGATATTAAGGTGGATGAGGCACATTAAGTGGATTCAGTGTGAAGCAGAACTGGGAGATGATGGAATAGTACAGGGATCATTTCGATGAGAGTTGTGGATGCGAGAAGGCTCAGAAGAACAGAAAGTAAAAGCATCAAAAGTATTTTGGCAAGAGAGAAGTTTCAATATTGAGAAAATTTATATCTACCTCAGAGATTAGTCAAGGGTCAAACCAGATTTATCTTTCTTCTAGAAATATAGTGATCATAGGCATATAATTATTTAATGTTATCTATTTATTTCAAATTTTAGGTCCTTCCTATATTGTCCCATAATTTTATCATGTAGTTCTTACGTTGCTTATCATTCACATTTTTATGACTGAACTATACCACCTTCCCAAATCATAAATTTAATAGTCAAATTAGTAAAATCTTTTTTCGCGGGCCTCTCACTGTTGTGGCCTCTCCCGTTGCGGAGCACAGGCTCCGGAAGCGCAGGCTCAGCGGCCATGGCTCACGGGCCCAGCCGCTCCGCAGCATGTGGGATCTTCCCAGACCGGGGCACGAACCCGTGTCCCCTGCATCAGCAGGCGGACCCTCAAGCACTGCGCCACCAGGGAATCCCAGTAAAAGCTTTTAAAGAAAGAATAAAATGACAAAAGGTAAGGGATTGGGGTGCCGAGCTTGGAGGAATATGGTCCGTATGAGACAAAGCAACAGATGTAGTATATGAAACTTGGCTCGCAGCCTCCTGAGAACTAAAACAAATGAGTCTTCACATAGCACAGGGAGATCAGCTCGGTGCTCTGTGACCACCTAGAGGGGTGGGATAGGGAGGGTGGGGGGGAGGGAGACGCAAGAGGGAGGAGATATGAGAACATATGTATATGTACAGCTGATTCACTTTGTTATACAGCAGAAACTAACACACCATTGTAAAGCAATTATACTCCAATAAAGATGTAAAAAAAAAAAAAATTAATGGTTTGTGGGACTTCCCTGGTGGTCCCGTGGTTAAGACTCCATGCTTCCAATGCAGGGGTTGTGGGTCAGGGAACAACCCCTGTTGGGGAACAAAGACTTCACATGCCACATGGCAAAAAAAAAAAAAAAAAAAAAAGTAATGGTTTGCACTATCCTTCCTGTATAATAAAAGAAAATACATGTGAGAAACTGCATCCTGTCTTTGAAGGGTTTTTCCCCTAATATCCATTTTTTATAAGAACAAGTAAATGGTAGCTTTCACAAAAGTTGTTTTTATTTCTTTTTTTTTGGCCTTGCAGCAAAGCCCCCAGCAGAAAAAAGCACAGAGTCCATGGGGTCCTAACCACTGGACCACCAGGGAATTCCCATCACAGCAGTTTTGAAATATGCATAGACAGTCTTCAAACAGACATCTAATAAGGTGGCAGCCCCTACTTATTATGCCTCCCAGAGAAGACTGCCTTATCCCCATGCCAACCCAGGAAGGCAAGCCAGGCGAATGACTGAGCAGCCTTAGTCCATTATGAAAAGCGGTCATGTTTTGGTTACCAGCATATCCTGAATGCCAAGGAAAGGAAAAAAAAAACACAGCACACTGCCTTTTAGTTTCATTTCTGCCATGGTATTGCCTATCTGACCCTGGCCATAATGTTTCTGTTTCCTAGTTTCCTCCTTGTACAGACACGTCATGTGTTCACTAAACCCCATTTCCTCTCCTTCCAGGGCACATGGCTGGACTGTGTTTTGTAGCCTCCCTTAAAGCTGGGTGGGGTCACCGGTCTGATTTTGGCTTAGAGGAATCAGGTCAGAAGTGACGTTTGCCATTTCCAGTCCTTGATTCTAAAAAAAAAACACTTTCACACTGCTTTAATGCTTTCCTTCTCTGTGCGCCTCTGTCTCTCTCGCTCTCCTGTGGGCCAGCTGAGTGTAGAGAATTCAGCAGAGGACTTCAAGGCCATAGGAGATGGTGGAGTCACCAGATGGTAGAAAATGAGGTCCCTGAGTAACCACAGAGAGCAAAAACGTTCCACCCAAATGACGTTAGCCTTGCAACGGGAGCAAGAAATAACCCTTTTCTGTATTTAGATGCTACTTTGTCCTTTGTTTCCCTTTAGCATCTTCTGAGAAATTGGCTCCATGGAATTATTTGTCCTGAAGTCACAGCAAATGTCCCTACAGGTCAAACCCAAAGATGGCCTCCGATGATTCTCATCTCCTGGAATTCAAGTCCTTGTGTGGTTCCCCCCACCCAACATTGAATTGTAGCTGGCCAGTGTGACCCAAGAACACTGCAGAAGAAATAGTGTATGATTCCAAGACATGGCAAATTCTGCCCTGGTCTGTCTTAGGCCACTTGCTCTGTAAGAAGCCAGCCACAAAGTCATGAGGACTTTTAAGCATCCCTGTGCAGAGGCCTACATGATGAAAAACTGAGACTTCCCGCCATCCACGGGTGCCCACTCGCAGCCACGTGTGTGTGCCACCTGGGAAGCACATTCTGTAGCCTCTGTCAAGGCTGGAGATGACTGCAATCCTGGCTGACAGCTTGGCAGCAACCTCCTGAGATATCCTGAGACACGAACACACTAAGTGACTCCTGAATTCCTGACCCAGAGAAACTGTGACATAGTAAATATTTATTGTTGTTTTAAGTCTGCAAAGTAGCGGGGTAATTTGTGATACAGCAGTAGATAATGCTATCCGTGATACTGTTATTTGTGAAAATTTCTATATTCTTTTGTTTTAATCTCTTTCCACCCCAGTATTATTGAATATAATTGAGACATAACATTGTGTCTTTTTTTTATTAATTAATTTATTTATTTGTTATTATTTTGGGCTGTGTTGGGTCTTCGCTGTGATGCGTGGCCTTCTCATCGTCGTGGCTTCTCTTGTTGCAGAGCACGGGCTCTAGGTGCACGGGCTTCAGTAGTTGTGACCCACGGGCTTAGTTGCTCCACAGCATGTGGAATCTTCCCGGACCAGGGATCGAACCTGTGTCCCCTGCATTGGCAGGTGGATTCTTAACCACTGCACCACCAGGGAAGTCCAACTAAGTTAAGGTGTACAACGTAATGATTTGATATATGTATATATTGCAGAATGATTACTACAATAAGGTAAGTTAACACGTTCATCACCGCACAGACTTACACCTCTGTGTGTGGCAAGAACATTTAAGATCTACTCTTAGAAAATTTCAATTGCACAATACAGTATAAACTATAATCAACATGCTGTACCTTATATCCCCAGAATTTGTTCATCTTAAAACTGAAAGTTTGTCTGGGAATTCCCTGGCGGTCCAGTGGTTAGGACTCTGCCCTCTCACTGCCGAGTGCCGGGTTTATTCCTTAGTTGGAGAACTAAGATCCCACAAGCCACATGGTGTAGCCAAAAAAAAACAAAAAACAACACTGAAAGTTTCTACCCTCTGACCACTTTCACTCCTGTCCCTGGCAACCACTAATCTTGTCTCTTTCCATGAGGTCAGATTTTTTTAAGAGTCCACATATTAGTGAGATCATATAGTATTTGTCTGTCTCTGACTTATTTCAAAGAGCAAAATGCCTTCAAGTTTCTTCTATGTTGTTGCAAAGGGCAGGATTTTCTTCTTTTTTATGGCTATATAATATTCCATTGTGTGTGTATACATGTATATATACCACAGCTTCTTTATCCATTCATCTGCTGGTGGATACTTAGATTGTTTTCAAGTCTTGGCTATTGTGAATAATGCTACAATGAACACAGAAGTGCAGACATTTCTTTGAGAAAATGATTTCATTTCCTTCAGATACATAAGGATTGCTTTGGCTATTCAGGGTCTTCCGTTGCTCCATATGAAATTTAGGATTTTTCTTTCATTTCTGTAAAAAATACCATTGGAATCTTGATAGGGACTGCATTGAATTTATAGATGGCTTTGTATAGTAGGGACATTTTAACAATATTATTTCTTCCATCCACGACCATCGGATGTCTTTCCATTTATTTGTGTCTTCTTCAATCTCTCTTGTAGATTTCAGTGTACAGATCTTTCACCTCCTCGGTCAAATTAATTCCTAAGTATTTTATCATTTTTCATTGCTACTATAAATGGGATTTTTTTTTTAAATTTCTTTTCCAGATAACATGTTGTTAGTGTATAGAAATGCAAACTTAAAATTTCTCGATTCTAATGGTACTCTTTAGTGGGCCATCAGTTCCTGTTCATGAAACAGTATATACTCTATTCATCTCCAAGTCAAAGGAAGTCGTATCAACCCTCTATGTAAAAGGATATGGGGTGGAATCATTCGGTAATGGCAATTTTGAGGAATAAGTCTGAACAAGGTCAGCTGATTCTGATATCTTGAAATATTTAAACAGGGAGGGAGACCCTGAAATAAAAAAGAAGTTAGGGTAATATTTCACAAACATTTCAAAACATCACTTGAAAGACCGCTGAACTACTTGCAAGAGAATACAAGTGGGACACATACATGCCTTCGATAAGATGACACACACCAATAAGGGAAAGAAGAATTGTGCAATTTGGTGTAACAAGTATGTTCTGTAACAACAACAGTAACGATGATAACGTCTAACTCCTATGGAGTCCACATATATCTTAGACCAGTCTATCCGCTCCTTTCTCCCACTTATTTCCCACAAAGAGATTGTCTTGTTCTCACATTTTTAAAGATGTCAGGTAAATAACTAAATGTCAATATAAATGGCAAAGTGACGGTGAGAAGAGTATGTGTCAACGTAAACAGGAGAGAAGTTTGAAGATGGATGCTTCTTTTCGCATCAGAATCTTTTTCCCTTATAGTAACTTACTAGAATTATGCAGTGGAGTTCCAGTGCATACAGCTTCATCAACATAGGGGGGTATCTTGGCCAGTGAGCTTCTTTCCCAGGTGGGTAGTTGACAAAATTCCTCCAGCAGTAATCATACTCTAAGGAAACACAAATCTTGGTTCAGTCAACACATACAACAGAAAGTTAAAGAGAGCCCAATTTAAAAATAATAATAATTATTATTATTGTTATTAAATAATAATACTATGGGGCTTCCCTGGTGGTGCCGTGGTTAAGAATCCTCCTGCCAATGCAGGAGACACGGGTTCAAGCCCTGGTCCGGGAAGATCCCGCATGTCGCGGAGCAACTAAGCCCGTGCACCACAACTACTGAGCCCGCGCTCTAGAGCCCGCGAGCCACAACTACTGAGCCGGCACGCCTAGAGCCCGTGCTCCGCAACAAGAGAAGCCACCGCAATGAGAAGCCCACGCACCACAATGAAGAGTAGCCCCCGTTCGCTGCAGCTAGAGTAAGCCTGCACACAGCAACGAGGACCCACCACAGCCATAAATAAATAAATTTATTTATTTTTTAAAAAATACAATATATATAAAATCTCTCTGGCCTATTTATTGCTGGAGAAGGGCTAGACTCTTCCAGAATCCCTTAAAGGAACTCCGCAATTCATTTGAAGATGGCACAGAGGCCATAGTGACAGGAGTGGGGAAAGGAGTCATATCTTTGGTGCTTTCCTTGCTATGAATTTCAGACCTGGTCCTTTCTCCTGCTATTTTGGACTTTTAACTTCTGAGACTTCCGGTCTGGGGTAATCAGTCTCCTGGCCTAGAAACATATCACCACCACCACAGTCTCTAATAAACACTTAAGATTCCTGGTTTATTGTTTTCACCTGTGGGTCCCATAACATGGATAGTCACACCACTGTGAATCAGGTCTCTGAGTCCTTGCCGGTTTTGCGGATCCATGTGCTGGAAAAGCCGTGCTACGTAAATAAACAGGGTCACTCTAGGATGCTGATTCAAAAATTCCCGAATAGCCTTGGAGCATTCCCAGCAGGGACTCCAGGACAAGAACCAGATGATGCAGCAGCTGACGGATGGGTGAAAATGTCTTTCTGAAGTAATTTTTTCTATAAACTTGCATTCAACATGCTTGGTGGTGTTTTTGTCCGAGTGTCGCCAGACGTGCTGGCTCTTTCCCCACTTGATTTCATAGAGCAGACGGGTCTCTTTACAGAGTTCTCGGGGGTCAAAGGAGACTTCAAATTCCCAGGGTTCAATTCTTCTCCTGAAATATTAAAAATCACCCGTGTTGTTATGTCATCATTTGAGGGACCCTAGAAATAATTTCATCTTCTCCTTCTGGATCAGGTAGATCTAAAACATGACATCTCATGGACTTCCCTGGTGGTCCAGTAGGTAAGACTCCGTGCTCCCAACGTAGGGGGCCGGGGTTCGATCCCTGGTCAGGGAACTAGATCCCGCATGCATGCCGAAACTAAGAGCCCGCATGCCCCAACTAAAGATCCCGCGTGCCGCAACTAAGACCCTTCACAGCCTAAATAAATAAATATTTAAAACATGACATCTCAGGAAACTTTTTTTTTTCTATTCTGTATCTCAAAGTTATCTGGGGAGGTCCGTTTGGATTATTAAATTTTCTCTCACAAACATAGTGAAGAGATTTTTCCCAGCTCACGTTATTTGGTTACCACTCTCTATACCATTGCTTGGTGGTCTTGAATTCAGGTATAAGTGTGTCCTTGTTCCTCTTTTAAACGTTTCTCATTATATTCTAATCTTATTTTATTTTATCTTTTTCTTTTACTTTATTTATTTTTGGCCATGTTGTGCGGATCTTATTTCCCCAACCAGGGATTGAACCCATGCCCTCGGCAGTGAAACCGCCGAGTCCAAACCCCTGGACCACCAGGGAATTCCCTCTAATCTTTCTATCTCACACTTAGAGGTGACCTGTCCCACTCATTAATCTTCACTATTCCTCAGGGGACTCTAGCTAGAGTTTTTTCAGGTGTGGAAGCCTCAAATTGCCAAGAGGATTCTATTCCCAACTCTGAGAAGAGACTAATTTAACCTCAGGCTTTGTCCACATTCAATTCTGTATACTATTTCCTCAAAAGAAATAAATTCAAATTTCTCTCAAGGGCATCTTTAGATACCCACCCTCATTGTGGGTCAAAGCTGTGACTCAGAATTATTCTGAGGACTCTTCCTTGCAGTATGGTTGAGTCATAAGTTTATTACATCGTCATATTTTCCACTCATTCCTAAAGAATCACTTCATTTATTATGTAAATCAATCCTTCCGCCCACCCATCACGAGATAATATGCTCCCTGACAAAAGTCTCCCTGTTATAAAAATAGGTCTAGGTGCCAGGGAGGCAAGACCCAGCCTCCCCAGATGCCTTTACTTGTTTTTGGTTTTTTTTGAAAACTGTGCAAAATGTTCATTTATTATGTCCATCATTCTACAAACATTTATTGAGAATCTAGTATGTGCTCTGCTATGTGTTCTAAAACCTGGGGATACAGCCATGAACAAAATAAAACCAATCTCTGCTCTCCTGGAGCTTCAAAAAAAGAAAAATAATAGGTGTAGGGAATTCCCTGGTGGTCCAGTAGCTAGGACTCCACGCTTCCACTACTAGGGAGCTGGGTTCAATCTCTGGTCGGGGGACTTAGATCCCCGCAAGCCAGGTGATGTGGCCAAAAAAAAAAAAAAGTCTAGAAAATGGGCATAGAGTATAGAATAAGAAGATGAAATCAAAGTGACAAATGAGTTCACTGGACTTTTCACTAATGCCTATGAAAACCTGTGATTTAAAGAGAGAAGAACAATAGTAAGACGATAACAGAACAAAGCTGGAAGGTAATTTTTTTCAACAGAAACCAAAAGCCATAGGAGCAAAGATATAGAAAGCAATAATAATCATAGAGGATAGAGAGAGAAAAAGCAAAAGAAAGAATGGGAGCGTGGAATAAGTAAGGAACAATAAGGAAAGCTATAGTCCTCCATCTCTTAAATATCCATCTATTCTTGGTTGAATTAAATGTGCACTATGATAGTATAATTCTTACCTCGAGGTAGCATCTCCAGCTGAAGGACCTGTTGACCAACAGATGATCATGTCAGATAACACCCATATACAAATTGAATTACTAAGAAGAAACGCTCTATTCTTCAAACCCACAAACCATATCAGAAAATGCAGTTAAAAGATTTTCTCCTGGGACTTCCCTGGCGGTCCCGTGGTTAAGACTCCCCACTTGTTTCCACTGCAGGCGGTGAGGGTTGGATCACTGGTTGGGGAACTAAGATCCCTCAAGCCACGTGGGCAAAAACAAAAAAAGTCTCTCCTGGATTAACTGGATTGGACAAGGTCATTGCATCAAGAAAAGCAAGATTTTTAAGGGCTCTGCTGAAATTTACTTGCCCAATATCAAACCAGGTAATCCTCTTTAAGGCTCCAAAAAGAAAGGGGGAAAGTCACCCTTCAGAGGATCTTAGGTGTAAATTATGTGCCCCCATAGAATCCTGTACTTCCTTCCTCATAGCAATGATCATGTTATATTATGATTGCCTAATTACATGCCTATAGTAACACGTGTAAATTATGTGAGATATGGGTTATACATATCTTGTTTCAGACCCTATCACACTGCCTGAAACATGTTGGTTAGCAATAGATACTTATTGAACAAATGAATGAAATGCACCACTATCCGCTATGGATTATTAACAATAGTATGCTAGAGGTACTGGACCGCTCACACGTTGCTGGTGGGAATATAAATTGGCATAGCCACTCTGGGAAACAGTCTGCAGCTTCTTAGAAAAAAATCTAAAAATGCAACTACCGTACAACCCACCAATTGCCCTGCTGGGCACGTGTCTCAGAGATAGGAAGACTTAGGTTCACACAAAAGCCTGTACACAAATGTTCATATCAGCTTTATTTGTAATATCAAAAACTGGAATGAGCTCAGATGTCCATGAAGCTTGAGACACTGAGTATAAGGTTCCCACCTGATACCCCTTCTCGGTGGGTCAAAGAGAGACACAAAATTCGCTGCTCCCTCTGAGGGTGAAGTGCCTGCCCTGTCTCCCAGCCAAACTTATCTCTGAGGAGCAGTTTTTGAACCACAAGACCTTCAAAACAGAAGATGCCAAGGCTGTGTGTGTGTGTGGTGAGGGGTCCAGATTGTGTCACTGAAGCATAACAATTATTTTGGTCTGAAGACGTTTGAAAATAAACTCCCCTCCATGCCCCCCCCAATCCACAATCCCTTATTTTCCTACAGGCAGAGCCTCCCAAAAGAACTCAAAAGAAATCAATTGTCATAAATCCCGTTCTTTGGGGCAACCAGGGGAGATTGACTCTTACCAATTGAGACACCCACTCAGACATTGTCACGAACTAGTCTGTCTCCATCTATTCTCCTAACGGCCCGTCTATCTTTCCTAAAAGTCATTTGTTTTCCCATTAGTGTTCTTCTCCCTCTCCACTTCCTCTATTAAGATGGTATATAGGGGCTTCCCTGGTGGCTCAGTGGTTGAGAGTCCGCCTGCCGATGCAGGGGACATGGGTTCGTGCCCCAGTCTGGGAGGATCCCACATGCCGCACAGCGGCTGGGCCCGTGAGCCATGGCCGCTGGGCCTGCGCGTCCGGAGCCTGTGCTCCGCAACGGGAGAGGCCACAGCGGTGAGGGGCCCGTGTACCAAAAAAAAAAGAAAAAAAAAGATGGTATATAAGCCATCTTAATTCTAACCAAAGTCCTTGAGTCACATTTTTGTGAATTCCTCTGTGTAATTTTGTCTTTTTTTTTTTTTTAATCTGTCTTTTGTCGGTTTAATTTTTTTTTTTTGTCGGTTTAATTTGCAGTGCCCCCTCCCAGAACAAAATCTAAGAGTGTAGAGGAAAAGATTTTCTTCCTAAACAATGTGTGTGTGTGTGTGTGTGTGTGTGTCATGTCTATTTGTGCATTTGTACTAAATGGAGAGAGACTGTGTATGGCACACTTTCCTGTAGGTGGAAAATGGTTCTAGCTGGTGTGTGAGACCGAAAAGATAAATCAGCAAGATATATAGGAAAGAGGACAGAGTCAGTAAATACTATTCTAAGTGTAACATGAAGAATAAACTTCTCATCCTTAGAAGAATATGCAGGGAATCTGACATGAGATGGAGGAGAAAACGGATGGCTAACACCTTGGAATGGGCACTTCTCAGACCTTACTTCAGATTGGGGCCTTTGGGACTTCCCTGGCGGTCCAGTGGTTAAGACTTTGCCTTCCAATGCAGGGGGTGAGAGTTCTATCCCTGGTCAGGGAGCCTAAGATCCCACATGCCTCGTGGCCAAAAAAAAACAAAACATAAAACAGAAGCAATATTGTAACAAATTCAATAAAGACTTTAGAAATGGTCCCCATCAAGGGACTTCCCTGGTGGCGCAGTGGTCAAGAATCCACCTGCCAAGGCAGGGGACACAGGTTTGAGCCCTGGTCCAGGAAGATCCCACATGCCGTGGAGCAACTAAGCCCGTGCGCCACAACTACTGAAGCCCGCGCGCCTAGAGCCCGTGAGCCACAACTACTGAAGCCTGCGCGCCTAGAGCCCGTGCTCCGCAACAAGAGAAGCCACCACAATGAGAAGCCCGTGCACCGCAACGAAGAGTAGCCCCTGCTTGCAGCAACTAGAGAAAGCCTGCGCGCAGCAACGAAAACCCAACGCAGTCAAATATAAATAAGTAAATAAACAAAACAAAATAAGTAAATAAAACAAAACAAAAATAAAAAAAAACCCAAATTGGGGCCTTTGAACCAGCTGGTCTACTCAACGAGGGCCTTGTAGAAACAGAGGCCACACCTCTATGAGGAGGTGAACCAGCAGTGAGGACTTCAGAAAGAGAGACTGAGATACATTCTCAGCACCTACACATGTGGTGCCAGGCAAGAACACTAGGTACATGACTTGGGGTGGTTTGAGGGATAAAACATACCACCTTCAAGGGAAATTACCCAGATATTTCAATTAAATAAAGTCTTTACACTTTTTCCCAAAATACCAGTCACAAGAGAATTTTAATAGAGGGAAAATATAATGGAGAAAAAATATTGTTTCTTGAAACCTAAGACTGACACCTGCATTTTGTCTTATCACATGATGCCCACACTCTTGCAGTAGTCTTTTCACTGGCCTCCTTTCTTCCTGTCTTTTCTGCTTTCAGTCAAGAAGGCATCAGAATGAGAAGCCTGTGCACTGTAACAAAGACCCAATGCAGCCAAAAATAAATAAATTTTTTAAAAACAAACAAATTTGCTTTCTAATCTCACTGCAGATTGTTTCCAAAAACTCTTCTCTATCTTAACCAATTTATTCTTTATATTCCACACACAATCTTTGTAAATTCTCTTAAACTCTCAGTGTCAATCAACCTGGAATCTCCTCCTCTTTGCCAATTCAAATTCTGCCCTTTCAGGATCCAGTTCAAATCCCACCTCATCTGAAAATCATCACCTTCCACAACCTGAGTGTTTTTCCTCTCCCACGAATTTTTCTAACATTAAGTAACGGAACCTTAAATTATCCATTAACTTGCCCTTGTGCTATCACTTCTGCTGTTACTTTAAACTTTTATTTAACAGTTGTATTTCTTTTACTTAATTTTTTATTACGGTGAAACAAGCATTGCTTTAGTGCCATCTGATCAAAATCATTTTTGGATGTGAACAGTTGGTATTAACAACAACAACAATAATAATAAATCCTGTTTAAGAATATTAATATATTAATAAATAGGAAAGTTGGAAAATGTCCAAGGATACAAACAGAAGCAGGACACATATACACGCACACACACACACGCAAGCACACACACAGAGTTTTCGCATTTTTCAAGAACATGTAGCTTTCAGGCCCCCCGGCCATTTTACCTCTGTCAGAAGCCATGCTGCTCTGTCACTGGACTTTTTCCTCTGGAGCTATATATAGTGCCGCCAGCAGCCTGCCTCACACTGTTTCTGTAGGTGTGACCACTGCCACCTGTTTGGGCAGAGGATGACTCACTCCTGTGTCTCAGGCAGATACTGGGTATCTAGACTGCACAGATAGGTAGCAGGTGAACAGGGAAGTTGCTGGAGGTTGGTAAGAAGGCGTACAATGCAGATAGCTAATGCTGTAGCATAATTCACTGAGAACATCCAAATTTCAAAGTTCTTGCGTGATAACTCAGAATGTAGGAACATTTCCCTTAAAAGTTAAAGCAAGACTGACCCATCATTCTTTACTGGAAAAAAAAGAGGAAGAAGAAAGGGAAGAGAGAACTGGCCTGTTTCCATGACGTGAGTGTTTTCATTGTTGCCTGGTGAAGACAGTGAGGGCTTGCCCTTTAGCTGTTATTCATTTATTTCTAACTTCCTCTTATTTTGCTCTTCACCCTAGATTCTCTTGGAAAGGGGAAGGGCGCTATTAGAAACGAAAGCAAAAGGACTTTGGTCTCTGAGTCAGATAATTAGTGTACAAGTTTCAGGTGATTTCTTTTGCTTCTTGAAGCTAAGGTTAACGTTAAGCCCAGTCCACTTCCGCTTTTTTTCTTCCTTGAGAAAATGAATACTATACTCCCTATTGCCATTGTCTCCTGTTGCCTGAACCCTGAGTCAATCTCCTCTGGGTTTGAGCACACACACTCCCAGAACTGAGGTCACTCTCAAGACCTAAGTCTCCCTCTAGGGTCTCAAATCTAGAGTCCCTGAACTCTGAGTCTCAAATTCAACGAACCCTACACCTGATCCCTAAATTTAAGACTCTCCTTAATCATGAAATGAAGCCGGAACCTGGACAAGGTGAAGCAGTTGTTTGGAGTGGCAGGTGATACTTTTGAAGAAGGGACAGAAGTGTCTCATCATAAGTAAAGGTCCTTCAGGGACTTCGCTGGTGGCATAGTGGTTAAGAATCTGCCTACCAATTCAGGGGACATGGGTTCGAGCCCTGGTCCAGGATGATCCCACATGCCGCGGAGCAACTAAGCCCATGCGCCACAACTGCTGCGCCACAACTTCTGCGCCACAGCTACTGAAGCCCGTGTGCCTAGAGCCTGTGCTCTGCAACAAGAGAAGCCACCGCAATGAGAAGCCCGCGCACCACAACGAAGAGTAGCCTCTGCTCACTGCAACTAGAGAAAGCCTGCGCGCAGCAACGAAGACCGAACGCAGCCAAAAATAAATAGATAGACAAATTTATTTTAAAATAAAAAGGTCCTTCAGAAGCCAAGTGTTTCGGTGAGGCATGTGTGGTGGGTAGAATAATGGCCCCCCAAAGGTGTCCACCGTCTAATCCCTGGAACCTATAAATATGTTACCTTACAATAGCATAATGGACTGTGCAGATGTGATAGATGTGATTAAGTTAAGAATCTTGAGGTGAGAAGATTATCCTGGATCATCTGGCTGGTCTCAGTCTAGTCTCAAAGACCCTTATAAAAGGGAGGCAGAGTCAGAGTCAGAAAAGGACATGTGAAAAAGATGTGTCGGGGTGGGGGGGGGGAGAAAAGAAAAAAGAGAAGACGTATGATGTGGTTATTGGCTGAAGAGGGCCGTGAGTCGAGGAATGAGGACAGCCTCTAAAAGCTGGACAAGGCAAGGAAATGATTCTTCCCTAGAGTCTCCTAGAAGAATGGTGCCCTTTTGACACCTTGATTTTAGCCCAGTGACACCCTATTTTGTGCTTCTGATTTCCAGAGCTGTGAGATAGATAAGTTACATTGTTTTACACCGCTAAGTTTGTGGTCATTTGTTACAGTAGCAATAGGAAACTAATACAGCAAGACAGACTCGGGAGAGGCACATATGTAACAGGTAAGGCGGTATATAATTTGAGTTAGTTTCTACTAGAACTCCTACTGAATGCTTGATCCATCTTCTGTATTATTTTAGGAAATTCAGAATTAACACATGTGATAGACTGTAACGCATTCATCATGTGTAAGAGAGGTCAAAGATAATCAACTATAAAATGTTACTATTCAGTTTAGATCTGTGTCCTGTTCCTGTTATGCATTTTTTTAAATGCATACATATACCTTTGTATCCGCTCCACAATCAAGATATTTAAGCCTCTCATCACCCAGAAAATTCCCCTGTGTCTGTTTGTAGTCATTCCTCCAACTCCCAGTCCTATAGGCAACCACTGATATTTCTGTCACTAAAGATTAGTTTAGACTGTTCTATATATCATACAAACGGAATCATATAATGTGTAAGCTTTTATGTTTGCTTTTGTGAAATAAAATTCATATTTATGACGAGACAAGAAAAATTTAAACATAAAATTTCTTCTCTGCCCTTTGGCCTTCCCTCTTGCCCCACTGTGCATTGTGTATCCACATCATGCATTGACCAAACCTCCCCCATCAGCAGCTCAACCATAGACAGCGACATTCTCCTAGCAACAAGACAACTCCTTAAAAGTGAACAATCCTTCTTGATGTGTAAAGGATCACAAGACCC